ATTGTCGGCGCGCTTTTGACATTGCGGTTTTAGCGCCGCGGCATTGTCGGCGCGCTTTTGACGTTCGCGGTTATGTCGTGCCACGGGAGAATTCAGCTTTCAGTCAGAAAGCAATAGTCAGGGGCAACCAAGGACTTCCTAATTGTCATCAATGCTGTTTTATGTTTTGTAGATGTAAACATTGATGGAGAAAGAGGAGAAAGCGATACAGCCACGCTGGAGGCATCTGAACAAGAAGAATCAGACCGGGAGAGGAGCCACCTCACTACCGTAGGGAGACCTGCTTCCCTCCATTCCCTTGACTTCCCTCCCTCCTCTTCCTCCTCGGATCTGGACGAACCCACCTCACCAAGGTTGTCCAAACGGCGCCGAGTGGAGCCCAGCTGTGCCAAGCCTCGGCGAGCCAGGACGGCCTTTACATACGAGCAGCTTGTGGCCTTGGAGAACAAGTTCAGGGCAACACGATACCTGTCGGTGTGCGAGCGCCTCAATCTAGCTCTGTCGCTCAGCCTGACGGAGACGCAGGTCAAAATCTGGTTTCAGAACCGAAGGACAAAGTGGAAGAAACAAAATCCTGGGATTGATGGCCTGGCCCAACCAGGAAACAACGGCGCTGTGACCCCGGCGGGAGGAAGTAGCAGTCCCAGCCCAGCAGGGCCCAGTTCCTTGGCCTATCAGACTTTCCCACCTTATGCCGCGGCCAATCTTCTCTTTCCGACCGCAGCTTCCCTTCCCTTGGTGGCGGCCGCCGCCGCTGCAGCAGGAGGAGGGGCCTTCCCTTCCTTCCTTCGCCCTGCTTATCTGACTCCGTTTTATAACCCTCACCTCTAGAAGGATCAGAACCCAGACCAGCCTTCCTCAACTGGACAGCCTACGGGAACGGCTGAGGATGATGGGAGTAGAGTTGATACAACTGGAAGGTCTCTTAGACGGGGGAACATCTACCACAAATTACGTTTTCTCTGCATCTTACATAAGATCATCTCTTCTAACTGGATAATGCCACCATTACCTAGTTTGAGGTGTTTTGAGTGTTGTGATGGCAAAACATTAAGAGAGGGGGCCCTCTAATCTCCCCTTCCCCACATTTTTTTGAGAAAACACACAACTGCAGTTTAAATCGGTGAAATCCTTTTGGAAGTAGATTAACTTAATTCAGGAATATGGATGTATTAAAAATGGAACCAGAGCTGCTTTACAGTCCAGTATTTGGTGTTTATATGACTGTTGGTCAAGTATGAAAGAAGGCACAGATCCTGTGGATTTAATAGTCAACAAGGGTGTCCCATTCCAGTTGTCTTCCTGTAATTTAATGTCCTCTGATGCACTGAATCCAGGGAATGTCTGTTCCCACCTGTGTTAAATGTGCTAGCTAGATGCTAAAGCAGGCTGTTTTTCCTCGTGACCCGTCAAAACCGCGCTCGACTAAGCCGTGCCCGATTAAACTGTGTCACTGATGTCATCAACAGGGCGACAACAGCCAGCGCGGAGAAAGAAGGGCGCTTAAAATAGCGCTTTGAATGCAAGCCGATTCAACTTAAGGTAAGGGTTAGGTTTAGGGTTAGGTTTAGGGTTAGCTTTAGGGTTAGGTTAAGGGTTAGGGTTAGGTTAAGGGTTAGGGTTAGGTTTAGGGTTAGGTTTAGGATTAG